AGGAGAGGGAGAGGGAGGGAGTCTGGGTGGTTGCCGGCTGGGGTCTTGGTTCGTTTGGAGGTGGGGGTTTTGGAGGATGGCTGCGAGTGGGCATGGTGGAATGAAGGGGAGAAAATCGCAGCGGTTTGGGAAAATTTTTACACAGAGAGAGAGAGAGAGACAGAGACAGAGACAGAGACAGAGAGAGAGAGAGAGAAATTTTTTGATATTTTGATATATATATATATTTTTAATATTTTATTCATATTTTAATCAATTTAAAATTAAAAAATTTTAAAAATGTGGGACCCACAATGCCACGTAGGCAGTTAACAGAGAGATCTAACAGAAACCCTAACGGCGGAACCACATTGCAAAAAATTTACAAACTAAGGGTATGCGATTGTTAAAATTGAAAATACGGGGACTAACATGTCTTAAGAGTGTAAGTACAGGGTACTAAATTGTAATTACCCCAAACAAATATAAAGAAGTTCCAATGTTTATGCACACAACCTTTTTATATTATATATATATAATAAAAAAATGTACACAATATTTGAATGTATCGGGGGCCAGGATTCTGTGAAGGGGTCACAGTGTAAAAATGTACACAATACAAGTTACAATTGCATTATAGTTTTGTGATTAATACAAGCAAAAACTGATAAATTTGTTGGCCACGTCCGAGCTTCCAAAACTTTCATTGACCGGAGAAATTTTTTCCTTTCTTATAACACCTCTGCCGTCCTTGCTCAATGGAACACTGACAAAGAGTTTGTGCTTTGTGACTCGGAGAATAAGAAAGAAATCATGTCAGGCCCTCAGTGCTGCTCAAACCCACCAGCCCTGAACCCATCAAGTGGCTCTGGCCATGTTGAAAAGTTTGGTGGTTTCAATTCCTATGTCACTGGCTCCCCTGACTCTAAGCTTGCCATTCTTCTCGTCCATGACGGTTTTGGTACTTACCCATCACTTCAAAACTCTTTCTTTTTTGCCCTTGTTTTAGTACTTTGCATCTTTTGTTCAATATATGATTTGGGTTTATTTGCCACACTGTGTCTTGGAGGTGTGTCTGTGTGTTTTTGGTTTAATGTGTACTGATTTTTGGTTGTGTATGTTAATAGGTGTTCTGAATATGTTTGGTTGACTGATCAAGGAATCATTTTTTGTCATTTTCCCTTTTTTCCTTTGCCTATGTGTGTGGATCATCTTTTCTTTTCTTTGCCCTGATAATGTTGAACTTGGTCATCAAAATGAACATTTGTAACTGATTTGCGACATGTCAAAGCTTCAGTTTTTTTCCTTTGTGTGTTTACTTCGTCTTCTAATCTACTATTTACTTGTTAATATTACACGGTGTTTGCCATGCAGGATATGAAGCTCCAAAAGCTAGGTATGACTTATTCCCATACCTGTTCTCTGAATTACTTTTTCTTGGATCTGTACCTTTCTTATGTTGTCCATTGTCTAATATCAACTTTGGGCCTTGAATCAAACTTTCTGATTAAATTTGATGACTTGGGGGATTCTTTGAAATATTTTACTTGAAAAGTACAATTTAAGGGTCATAATAGGTCTATATGCAACTAAACTTTGAAGAACAATCATTAGTTTCAGATTGTCTATCAGATACAGCAGTTATCCAGCTTCCTACCTCCTGATGCTTAGAAGACGTCAGAGATTTTATTTTCGAAGAACAATTGTGCTATTCACCTTTAGTTTGCATGTTTCCATATACCATATGCCATTTAACCAAAGCCACCTGCCTTCTCTTCTGAAGGAAGCTCGCGGACAAAATTGCAGCTGCTGGGTTCATTGTTGTGCTCCCTGACTTCTTCAATGGATACCCTTTTGATGGGAACCTTGCCTCTCTCCCTGTTTGGATAAAAGCTCATGGAGTGGTTGGTTCTTTTGTTTTGATGCAGATCTCTAATTATTTTGTTTACTTGTAATTTAAGTACCTTCACAAGTCACCCTATGTGATTCTTGAATTTACATAAAACTTAGATACTAGCTGGGAAATTCTCATTTTTGGCTGCTTGAAGTTGAACATGTGCGTGGATTCAGATTGGTAGTCCCATTATTGTTGCTGTTTAAACTCTATATGGTTTTGAACTCTAGGTTGTTTCCACCTTTTGTGACAAAAAATAAACTAGGATCTTAAATTGTGGTGTTTTAAAAGTTGATATGGAATTGTCGAGTGTACAAGCATTGTTAATACTTCTAGCTTCTGAACTCTTGTTTTTATATTGCCAGGACAAGACAATCGAAGATACAAAACCAGTAATCGAAGCTTTAAAAAGTAAAGGCATTTCTGCAATTGGTGCTGTAGGTTTCTGTTGGGGGGGTGAGTTCATTTAGATGATTTTTCTACTTTTCATCCTCAATTCATTGATTCAACCAATATGGCACATATTGTATCAGTTGACATTGGTTTATTTGCCATGTTCCCAGGCAAGGGTGTGGTCGAACTTGCAAAGTATGACTTTATCCAAGCTGCAGTTCTGTGTCATCCTTCATTCGTCACCGTGGATGATATCAAAGGTAAGAATTTTCTTCACATTAAAAAAGGTCTTAATAGAAGCACTCACATTTCTGTTTCATGTGTGGAGATAAAAGAGGAAGAGAAAGAAAAAAAAGTGGTATTTCAATTTTCGCAAGAAAGATTAAAAATATTTTAGTCTCAGTTTATTGATTCATTCCTGGAACTGCTTTCAGCGGTTAAAGTTCCCATTTCTGTACTTGGAGCTGAGATTGATCAGCAGTCTCCACCAGAAGTCATGAAGCAATTTGAAGAGGTTTTATCTGCAAAACCTGAGGTGGGAAATATCCTTCATCAAAAGTCTTATATAATTTTAATGATTTAATCATGCACTTGGTCCTTGGGATGACTTCTGAATTTTTTTCGTTTTGTTGAAAACTTTATACTTGTCGGAATGACTCTGTTTTATGGAACTGCAGATTAAAAGCCATGTGAAGATATTCCCAAAAGTGGTACATGGATGGACCTTGAGGTACAACGATGAAGACGAAGCAGCTGTTAAGGCTGCAGAGGAGGCTCATCAAGACTTGCTGGGGTGGTTCTTGAGCCATGTCAAGTGATTCGCATCATCAGTGAAATGCTTTGTTGACACTTCAGAAGAACACAGTTTGGTGTAGCTTAATTATATTGTCAATTGCTTTATGTATCATGGTTAGATTATGCCCTGCACTTCTATGTACCAATATTTGTATTTAATTGCCAGGCGCTTGGAGTAAAGTTTGAATTGCATTGTTTTTTCTATACAAGCAATGTTGGTGAAAAGAAGAATCGAACATAGAAACTTGAATGTAGGGCTAAATCATCGTAATCATTTGAGCTACAAACTCCTTACGTTAGAAATGCATTATGCAAATACCAATGCATAAGTGACCGATAGGGGTTACTTAAAAACAAGTATTTGCTTGATAAATAGGGATACACTTGGACTTGGACATAGGATAAACAGCCGTCGGTTATAGATAATGAAATTGCATTAACACATATAATATCAAATCTTAATATAATAGGCGAGTATTTCCTATTTTGATTATAGTAAAAAAAATGTTTCAACCATTTTTTAAGCTTACCAAGATTTGTTGGTAATGGCGAGTATTCCCTATTTTGATTATAGTAAAAAAAAAGTTTCCTATTTTAATTTAAGTATTGGAATATTTAAGGGAGCTTTAGTTTTAACACACAATATAGTTTTACTAATTTGGTAAATAGGAATTCAATTTCAGCTAATTCGGATAAAGCCAAAAGCCAAAATATAGTACCTACTTTTACCATACTATAATTAAAGAGCATCAAAATTACAAAATATGTCATTATGCCATTATTTTCAAATTTCAATATTTAATTTTAAACAAAAACTTACAGTTGTATATGGATCAGCAAACAACATCACAACACCAAAAACTTAATGCGAAACGACATGTCCTCAAATTGAACGCTAACCCATTCGCGCAGATTAATGTACGCAGCCACATGTAGATATTCGGCCACCTTTATGATTTTGGGCTTCTATCCGACCTTATTGATTAGGCCCACTGATTGGGCTCAATGTTAATTTACTTGTCGGATCTTGGGCCTGACCCGGTCAAATTTCAACCAGTCCCAAACATTGCCCCCCAGTTTTTATGAATTTTGCCGCAACCTAAGTTTATGAAAACTTAAATTTAGTTCTTCTTTACGAACCCCCGGCCGGTTCAGAATTTTGCTCTCATATCGGCCTCTAGATGCTCTTGAACTTTTAAACTATTATTTGGCCAAAGATCTTACGGGATTCAATTATTTTAAGAAAGGAAGAATATATATATATATATATATATATATATATATATATATATTAATAACATGGAGTAAGAGTTTAGATGTGGCATCCTTACATTGTTTTCTTGAAGAGAAAGACTGTTCTTTCTTATCTTAATTTGGATGCTGGAGATGGCTTTTTCCATTAAATTAGTTGATGCATTACCATGCATTTGGACAGCTCATGCTTACAATTTGGTGACTAGGTTTTATTTTAGCTTGAGGAGGAGTTTATAAGTTCAATACGTGTCATAGCCTTTGGAAATAAATCTCTTGGCGTTGACACATATATAGCAGCTTATACAAAAGAGTGGCAACCAAGTTATCTTTTTGTATAGATAAGATAATGGCCTTTGTTATTATCCTCTCCATTGTTACTGCCATCTCACCACCTATAAATAGGAGTGTTAATGAAAGGAAGAGATATCATGCAATGTGTGTGTGTGTGTGTGTGAGAGAGAGAGAGAGAGAGAGAGAGAGAGATGATGATGATGATGAAATTCTTGGAAGATATATAGGGCTTAGCTTGTATTTTCTTAACTTGGAGCAATGCTTTGGAATCGAGGTAGGGGTTTCTTGGGGGCCTTTACGGGGATTGATCTAATTAAATTTCGTGAGCTCTATATTATGTGTGATATTATAATGGATGTTCTTGATATTGTATAATGTTCTTGATATCGGATGTTTACGTATTGTTAACTATTTGGTTAATGTTGGCATAATTATATATACATTGGTGATGTTTTAAATGGTTACATTGTTGTGAGATACATGGGATATGTGAAAAACATAATTATATCATGTCATGGAAATTGGTTGGGGTTGTTGGGTTAAGAAAATAATGATGGAAATAGGGTAATGGAAATAGTCTTTTGTGTGGTTAAGTCTAACTCTTCGCAGGTACCAAGTCTCAGGGATCCCACAGTGCACATGGTTTTTATTGGGTGATTCAGGACTGGTGACAGGGAGTTAGACAAGATGACTAACAAAAGGGGAATTATGGGATGGTTGAAATGGGTGTTAGTTCATATAAATGGACATTCGGGACCAAGTGGTATAAGCATGGTATGGGACGTACAGGTCTTCTTGTCCAGTTATATGAATTAACGAGAGTAGATGAAGAGCATTCATGCATTAATATTATTAATGTGATATTTGGTTGTGTGATTGCATGTCACTTAATTTAGTTATATCAATCTACTATGGCAAGGTCTCATGTCCCTACTAAGTGGTGGTTGCTCATCCCTCACCCTGTTTAATTTTTCAGATGAATTAGTGGGCAAGACAAGGACTAAACCAGTTGAGGCTGAATTAGAAGAGAAGTTTATTTTAAACCCATGTTTCGGCTTCTTTTTATTTTATTTTACTTTTTATTTTCTCACGCACCAGGCGCAGGGTTTCCACCGACCCCCAAATCTAGGGCGTGACAGACGACCACCAACGATCAAAGCCGATTCTCACTCTCTCGGAAAAAAAAAAAAAAAAAAGGGTAAGAAACTCAACGCTCTAACACACATTTGCCTTCGTTTTTAGGGATTAAGGATTTTAGAGATTTTAGCTACTATTCATTATGCATTTGGAAAAATGGATGACTATTTGGATTAACAACTACTCTTGGTTTAGGTTTTGCCTTCGTTTATAGGGATTAAGAATTTTAGAGATTTTACCTATTGTTCATTCTTCATTCTACAATGTAGTTTAGGTTTTGGGTTCAATATTGGTTTCAAAACCTCTAAAAACCAAAAAATTACCAGAGAAAGAGAAAGAGCATTAAATATTTCGGTTTTCTACATGCAGTTTCCGTTAATGCAATGTATTTTCCGTTAATGCAATGCATATCCAATGCAGTTTCCTTTATGTTTTGAGTTTTGGTTTTGAATTTCATTATGATATCTTTGTATTACAGATTGGTCATTTTGAATACTTTTGATACTTCTTGTTTTGACTTCGTTGATCTTTCGATTTCATGTCAAGTTGATATATATTTCTATTATGTTTTGTGTTTTGAATTGCTCCTTTTCAAAACCTCTAAAAACCAAAAAACTACCAGAGAAAGAGAACGAGCGTTGCAGTTTCCGTTAATGCAATGCAATGAACTACAAACTGCTTTGCAGTTTCTATTTTCTATTTTCTGCTTAACTATTTATACTTCTTCCTTGTAGTTTATCTCTACTTGTCCTAATAGTGTTTTCATCCCTTCTTGTTTCAGATCACAAATGGTAGAAGAAATGTCACTACAAAAGAAGGAAGCTCAAAACCAACCAAAGCCAAGAATCAAAACAATGGCTCAAAAGACAAAACCAAAGCCAAACTATGATAAGAAAGCAAAGGACTCGAACTATGTCCAGTTTCGGTGCAACGTCAATCCATTCAACAACATCATTACATATGTTAAAGACAAGCTCAATGACATGCAAAAGAAACTCCTCAAGAAAACACCTTTCTGGAATTTGATTGAGTTGTTTTACAATCAAAGAGTTGACATGAAGAACATGAATAAGTAGGACCTTGACTTAGTAAAGTTGCTTAAGAAGTTTGATCCAGATACAAAGTCCTTCAAATTCGGCACCAAATCATTTAAGATCACAGCAAATGTAGTGACTGAGATTCTAAGATTGCCAAACGAAGTAAATTTGTCCAACTTGGCACTGATAGATACATATCAACCTTTATAACAAGGCACTTTGGAGAAAAGTCAAAACCATCCAAAGGCATGGTAGGAGAAGAATTACAAAAGACAATTGCCTTGGCAAACAAACCAAAGAAAGAAAAGGCCAAGGTAAAGCAAAAGAAGAAAACGAATAGAGGAAAAGCCAAAAAAGAAGCTGAAGAAGAAGAAGAAGAAGAAGAAGAAGAAGAAGAAGAAGGGGAAGACAAAGAGGAAAAAGAGGTTGTTGATTATGACAAGGATGTGGTCACCCTAATCTTGATTATGCTTTGCATGACATTGCTCTTTGCCAACTCTTCATACACTTTGGATTGGAAAATTGTTGAGCACTGTGTGAATCTAGACACACTTTCAAGCTATTCATGGGTAAGAGCTGTTTCAACCTACATAAATGACTCCTTGATCACAAAGGCAAAAGTAAAGAAGGAAGGAGAAGCCTCTATAGGAGTTGTTGCAGGATGCACTATCCTAATATTAGTATGTAAACAGTGGCTTATGATATATATTTTAGTTTTCTGCAATGTAGGTTCGATGCAGTTTCTGTTTTAGCCAATGCAATTTCCAACCTAATTTCTGATATATCTTGTCTTTGAACTGTGCAGTTTCTACTGTGTGAAAAGACAAATATCATACAACCAATCATTGGCAAGGAGAAAGAAACTCCTGCAATTCTTAAATGGAGTCTTGTTGAACTCCACACAAGATTCAACTAAATCAAGGACTTAAATGACATAGAGGTATGCAATTTATCGCATTTTCTATTTTAATGTATCTTGAATGTGAATCTATGCTAAATCATTCTCATTTTACAGGGTATTTTCAAAACCTCTAAAAAGCCAAAAACTACCAGAGAAGAGGGAGACCATGTTGACAAGGTAATTAGAATTTGTACACAGTGGCTTATGCATTGCAATTTCAGTTTTCTGCATTGCAAAAATGGAAACTGCAATGTAGTGCCCATTTCCTGCAATGCAGTTTTCATTTTATCCAATGTAGTTTCTAAATCATTCTCATTGTACGGAGGTATTTTCAAAACCTATAAAAAGAGAAAAACTACCAGAGAAGAAGGAGACCTTGTTGACAAGGTAATTAGAATCTGTAAATAGTGGCTTATGCATTGCAGTTTCTGTTTCCTACAATGCAGTTTCTGTGTTCTGCAATGCAGTTTCCGTTTTATCCAATGCAATTTTTAATTAGTTTCCGTTCAATTTGTAGAAAAAAGAAAACAAAGATGATGAAGG